GTCATAATATAAATTTTCTTTTACATATATAAATATAATTTATTTATTTAAAAGAATTTATTTATATAATTTTAAATTAGTATAATTTATATATTATAATTTTTTATAAAATTTATTTATATATAATAGCTTGTGCTATCAATATATCATCACTCCCATGCATACAATAGCTACGAGCAGAAATCAGTATTCACTCTTCGAGTTTTCTAAAGATAGAAAGAGAGAGATAGTCAGTCTCTTAAGCGGCCGAAGGACCAACGAGGATTCAAGAGGAGAAGGGCACAGCCAGCTACCTTTAGTGTGGGAAATTAGTATAATTTATATATGGCTTAAATATGTTTTTAGTCCCTCAAATTTAAGGTAAATCTGTTTTTGGTCCCTCAAATTTAAAATTGTTATTTTTAGTCCCTATAATTTCAAAAAATCTTATTTTAGTCCTTCTATTCAAATTTTGTAAAGAAATTTATCAAACATTATTGCATAAAATCTACCTATTGATGTCTCTATTAGTGAAAATATCACATTTAATCCGATTGATATTGCATAACTATCTTAATTAATCACTTTCAAATATGTTATTGGTGACCTAAGGGACTAAAATAAGATTTTTGAAAATTACAGGGACTAAAATCAACAGTTTTAAATTTGAGGGACCAAAAACAAATTTGTCTTAAATTTGAGGGACTAAAAACATATTTAAGCCTTTATATATTATAATTTTTTATAAATTTTATTTATATATAATAAATATTTAGTGTGGGCATTAGACTAAATAAATTTCTATTACTTTAAATTATTTTAAAAATATACTTCATTTTATTGTTGTCTTAGTTTTAATAATTTTTTTAATTTATTCATTAAAAATAATATTTATTTTTAATATCAAATTTCAATAAAATATAATTATTGCTTTTTAATAAAAATTAATATGATTAAATTTATTAACTAATGTAAATTAGTCTTAGTGTAGTTAAGGTTTCGATTGAAACTACACTAGTACAAAAGAGGTATTCCACGTCGGTTATTTTAAGCTTTTTACGTCGAAAAAATACCGATGTTAATGCGGGAGATGTAAATCTACGTCGGCCCTGTAAAATCGACGTAAATTTACGTCGGACATTACCAAGGTCCGACGTAAAAAAGTAGTAAAAAAAAAAAAGAAAAAGAAAAAACATAACGAGTGCAAGCAGAACGACCCGTTCTGCTTGCAGAACGGCCCGTTCTCCAAGCAGAACGACCCGTTCTTCATTCAAAACGGCTCGTTCTTCAAGGAGCACAGGTCGTTTTGAATGGATAACGGTCGTTCTGCTTGGAGAACGGGCCGTTCTGCTTCGTAGAACAACCCAAAAGAAAAGGCCAACGACCTATACAAATAGAACAACCAAAAAATCGAATAGAACATATAGCCACAATAGCAATGCGAAGCAAAAAGGTGTTAACGAAACCTTGATTCATACCTGATGAGCTGCAACAGTGTGCGAATGAGTAACAAAGAGTTCACCCCACTCTGCAAAAGACAAAAAAACGATTCAGTAACAAAGGAGAGGGAGAGGGTTTACAGAGAAAAAAATGAAAAGTGATGAAGAGTGAATGCGCGCGGTGTGCCTCGCACTCTCTTATTCAATTTCGCGAACTTTTTTACGTCAGACCTTACCAGGTCCGACGTAAAAAAGTTTGCAAAAATTACAAAAATGCCACCACATCTCTTTTACGTTGAATTTTAGTGTGTCCGACGTTAAAGAGGTGACGTAATATACTAATTTTCTACTAGTGCTAGTTTATGACAAATTCGATAAATACTCATTAGAAACTTACCCTTTTCCAAAATTTTGATTTACAAAAATACAATTTTAAATAACTTATATATTAGGTTATTATTTATATTTTTAATTTGAATGGTTTTACATTGATTTTGCTAATGCTTTGAAGGCGGAGTTGGTTGCTGTTATGTTGACAATTAAATACGTGTTTTCAATAAGATGACATAGGTTATGGCTAGAATGTGATTCTCGGATGGTTTTACATGCCTTTCATAGTCCTAATTTCATGTATTGACATGTTCGTAGTTGATGGAAGTATTGTTGGATTTTGTGTTTTAAGATGTAGTTTTAGACTTCTGATATTTTTAAAGAGAATAATCAATGTGCTAATACACTTGTGGTATATGATTTAACACATAAATTATTTCATTTGGTGGGACACTTTACCATGTTTTATTTGGTTGGAGTTTTTCCTAACTATTGCAATCTACCTTCTTTTCCTAACTAGTCCCCAAGTTCTTTGTTTTTCTTTCTTTTTTTTAATTATATTTAAGTGTTTAAAAAAATAATTTAAATAATAAAATATTAAATTAAATAATTATTTTATAATAAATTTATTAAAAATATTAATATTTTAATTTTCGGAAGATCATTCGGATAAATTTTTTGGACACCGTAACTTTACTCAATAAATAAATATGGTAGGGAAAGGATCAAGGGAGAATATCTAAGTTTCTATATTGTTATTAATTAGTGTAAAAAATATTTTATATCTTTGTGTATTTTATTTTAAAAATAAAATAAATAATAAAAATAATTGAAGTTAAATATTCATGAGTGATTTAGCAGTTATTTAAAAGATATGAAAAGTTATATAAAAAAAATGAGTTTATTGAGAAGTAGATTAAAAAAAAGAGAAAAAACTAAATAAAAACATATATGAGAGAAAATAGTGTTTTAAAAGTCAATGGGTAAAATGATTGACTGAATGTGTACAATTAAAAAAAATATATGACTTTTATTAATAGTATATATTAAGGAGACTACTCCTATTAGTGTACATATTTTATTTTTTTGATTACTTCTCAAACTACTCTTTCTCTTTACATCATTTTTTAAAAACTACCTTCACAACTATACCTATTCAAAAACTTACTATTAATTGCTCACTTAGAACTATGGTCCTAGGACTAACCCATCCCACCTCCTATAATACCCTCATTTATTTTAGTTTCACCTAATGGAGAGATTTAAAACTTCTAACCCACATAACCCCAAATAAAAGGAAGTTACAACCAAGGCCGAACGGGGTTTGATCCCCCTTACTTGCCACATTAAAAAATTAATATTGGACTATATACTCAATATAAAATAAGAAACATCTCCATTCTATGTTTATTCTGTCTTAATCAATGTTCTTATCTTAATTTTATAGAAAATATAGTTATTTTAATATTTCAAACATCTTAAATAATACCTTAAATAGATAATCGTAGCTCAAGTTATCACATTATTTTTTTTAACAATGATGAACACAAGAAATTATCTTTTCTATCATGATCAATGAGCCTACATTGAACCTAACTTTCATCAAGATAGGAGTTGATTTTGATCATTATGCTAGAGACAACAATTGTAAATCTTTCGTCAAACTTATCAACAATGCAAATAACACCTCAAATAGATAACTATAACATGACATTATAAACTTATGATATTTAACATGAAACTTCAATTTTTTTGAGTTATTTACTTGGACTATAGTACACATACATCTCACTTTTTATTTTCACATCCTATTATATTATTTTTTTAATTTTCTCTTGTTGTCAATTTTCATTTTTATTTTGTATTATGTTTTTATTTTTATTTTTTTATCTTAAATTTATATTTATATATATTTTTTAAAAATATTTTTTGCCTATGATTTTTTTTTTGTGTTTTATTTTTAATTGTCTAGACAAAATAAAGTATTAACCGTTACGATAATTTTTTAATAGTTGAATTTATTATTTTTATTAAAAAAATATTGGCCCATGGATTGGCACTAGGTGGACTTTTTGGCCTTTTATTATAAGTGGGCTTTTCTCTCTCACTCACATGAGCCAAGACTTTAGGGTTCGATGCGTCTTTTTAACAAACTTTGAAAGGGTTAGAAGTCTCCTATTCGTAACCTTGCAGAAGATATATTACATGACCTTAGAGATCGCACTTATGCTTTTAGTATACAGTGGTAATGGAATGTTTTATTCGCTGTAACTTTAGATCACATATATATGGTTTATATTTCACCTATTTCTTTCTTTCATGATTTTTTAGTTTGAGTTCAAACTCTTTTATAAAAATAAAAAATAAAAAAAACTATCATTAACAAAATATACCATTACTAATTACAACTTGCATACACTTTTATTTATTTTTTATTAATACACGTATATTAAAGACTGTTCGTATTTTTACCTAGTCTTAAAAAAGTGTAAAAAATAGTGTAAATAATCTTTTAGTAATTGTAGTTATAAAGATAATTTATAAAAATATTGTTGAGAAATAAAGAGTAATTTGAGAGAATTTTACAGACAAAATTGTTCTAAAAACAAAAAGTAAGCATTCCTTCATTAATAACTAAGGAAAAAAGAGATACCCTATGTCTATAATTAAATAATAATAATAATAATAATAATAATAATAATGAGAAATTATTTAAAACCAGGATTTTTTTTAAAAAGAAAATAAATAAATGAATAAAAGATGATCAAAGAGAAAGTAGTTTAGAGATAATTATAAAAATAAATGTTAAATTATAATTTTAATTTCTTTATTTATTTTTAATATTTAATTTAGTCCCACTATTTTTAAATAATTCAATTTAGTCCTTTGATTTTTCAAAAAAAAAAATTCAGTATTATTTTTTCATTTAAATTGAATTAACAATATTAATGAAACTAAAAGAAACTATTAAATAATATTTAAAAATTAATGACTAAATTAAATCATTTAAAATAAATAGAAATATTTCCTTTTTTTAATAGATAGATATTAATTTTCAGTTTTAACCTTTTATGATGTAAATTTTAATGTATGTTTCTTGTTAATATAATAAACACTTGTCTATAATCAAATATTCATTACATATTTATTCTGTCACTAAATTATAAATTCATTTTATATGGATTTATACTTAGATGTAACAAATAAGAAAAATCAATCACTAACAAAGTGATATTTTTTAATCACATAAAGTTTTAATTTGAATAAAAAATATGACATGAAATGAAACAATGATTTCAATCTACTTGCTATACAACTATATTTTAAATAAAATAAAATAGGCTATTTCTAACTTTGGACAAAGGGTCATGACACCTCCAGACCTAGTACCACCCTGTATACAAGTAGAAAAACTCAAAATTACTTTTACTTCTATAACAATAAATTCTTCTTTCTTCCTTTTGTTCTTTAGAACTCAAGAAAGGACATTGAAATTACTAAAAATGTGTTTCCAACTTTTATCTAAAGATAGGGGGAAATTCTATAATCACAGAGCTGACATTTCTCTTAAATAATAATATCTTCTTCTTAACTTTCTCAAAAGTAGACTTGCGCAGATCCCAACGGGGTGAGAAACTTGCCACCTTCAAGACTCGAGCATATTCCATTACAAATTTAGCAAACCGTAGCTCATGTTCAATGTCATAAAGTTTTCCAAACTTAAATACTTCAAGGTTAGATATAATACAAGAAGGCACATTTTCAAGATTCGAATGTTCTGCATCAAATTGAAGTAGTTCCTGATGATCAAAAGATAACACAATTATATTTCTCAATAAAAACAAAAAATGGAATTAAAAAAACTGAATAAATCTAATCAGTAGTATCACAAAATTCCTTTGTGAAAAATTTGATGATCTACAAAAGTATTTTACACAGTTTAGTGATTATTGGATCATCTTGATAGGCTCAATGAATCAATTACTAACCTGTAAAAGAAGAGTCTTCAAAAATGGTGTGTTTTGAAGGAAGTTCATCAAAATTTTACCAGTAACATTCCCTAACTCGAGACGAGTCAACATTCCAAATCCAGGAAGATCATCTTGGGCTAGTGCAAGAACCTGAGTGACAATGGGAGCCAAAAACGTTTATATCGGGACAATCCAAATACTATCTATAAAATGTAATGAAACAAAAACTACTATAATAACAATAAACATCTCATAAAATAAAATGTATAAAATGTCTCATCAGAAGTCACAACTATATATGTTATAAAGATTGATCTTCAACATAACACTAATAAAAAGTAAAATGCTACTATATTTTCATTCAAGCAAGGAAATGTTGATGACATTATCAAATTTCATTGTCGTTCATAATTCATTGCAAACACAGGGTGAAACAAGGAAACATACCTTAGATCGCTCAAACTTCAGACATTCCACGTTATTATTGAATTGTTTCAGAAGCTGAGAAGTTAAAAACGCCGCATTTTCCTCACTCTCCTGTAGATACTCCCGCGGATAAATATTAGCAGAGGCAATACGTGCTCTAGATAGGTCTATGTCTAACAAAATTGTGTCTGATATTGGTGAAACATAACCACTATAAGAGAATCTTGTAAGACATGGGGCACAAAACTTGATTATAGTGTGTGAGTCAACAGATTCATATGCAGGAGTTATTGAAAGCACTTCAAGTAGAGGCACTTCAAAAGTGATATCCTTTACATTTAACCAACTGCAATTTTCTGCCTCATATTCTCTAAGAACTGGCAACTTGATGATCAGATTTTTGGGGTCATTAGAAGGTTGGCAAGTAAACGTGATTCTGGTCAACTTGAGGACAGTGAGAGTTGAAAGACAAACAAAGCTGGGAACTCCAATAGCACAACCATTCATATTCAGCACCAATTTCTCCAAGGACTGGGATTTCCAAAGGGAATATGAGGAAATGTCAAGGTTTTTGTTTGATTCAATTAAAAGCTCTTTGACTCCCCGGTTTAAAATAGCTGATATCCACTGATTAATATGGTAAGAATGGTAATCCTTTGTAAGAGAAAGAGTGAAACTTTGGACGCTTGAAGCATCAAGGTTAAGTAGTACTCTATACACAGAATTTAAAAAGTGGGTTCTGCTTATCCTAGTGCGATAGTATAGCTTCCTATCATTAAAGTCTAGCCTGGTGATGAATGTCCACAGATATATCCATCTCTTGGATAAAACACAAGTACTAACAGCTTCTTTAGTCAGAAGAAAAGAAAGAATGCGACCAATAATGACATCGGGAAGGTTGCTGATTATGTCGTGATCTTCATTGGATTTTTGCTTCTTAGAAGGGGAATTCGGGTCCATGTTTATTGCAAGCTCCTACACATAGTCAAAAACCTTTGGTTGCATTGTCAAGCCATACACACATAACATAGTCTAAAAATTGAAGCAAAGTTTGAATAAGTCGATAAAATTCACTGCAATACTTGAAGACACAAGTCTCAGATTGAAGACTGTGGACGCATGAAAATGTGAAATGTTATAGGATTGACACAAAGGTGTAGGGCTATGGCAACACTGAAAAATTCTCTGTCCTTGTTTTAATTTTCACCTATCTTTTTTTTTATTATTATCAAATTATTATTATTCATCACATTACTGATTTTTGAAGATTTCTCTGGACAACAGATTCTAGAGGGAAACCCTAAATCTCAAATAACAGATAACAGAAACACAATCTAGAAAAGTAACGTTAAAATTCAAGAGCAATTGAAATAAAAATTGAAAAGCAAAATGACAGAGGTGAAAGTTTTACCGAAGATACCTTCGAAATTTGAGAGAGAAATTGGAAAAATACGGAACCTTTCCACCGCCAAACCCAAGCACTAGCAGTGCGAGAGACAGAGGTGAATGAAATTTCGAAGGATCCGAGAGAAAGAGGAATGAGTTTTTGTGTTTTTGTTGCAAATTAGGGATTGAAACCCACCGAGAGGTGAATGATATTCCATTACTTTTTGCCGAATGAGAAAATATCTTTTAGAATCGCAAATGAATTTTTTTTAATAATTTTAATTATATAGACATTATTTAAATAAATTATATATTTTTTAACAAAAATTATTGAAATGATATTTTTTATTTATTGCTTTAAAATTAAAATGTAATTACTGATAAAAATTTCAAAAGGATTGAACTAGAAGGAAAGATAAAAGTTTTAAGAGTATAGATGATTAGTTTATTTCTTATTTATTTTATAATTTTTTTTTTCTTTGACTTTCTTTGACCTTGTTACATATCATTAGTATAGGGTTAATATTGTACTTTTCTTTTGAGGGGTGCATTTTATAATTAAGAGAGATGTATTTTATAAATGAAAGATGCAACTAAACTTATACAAATTCAAGAGAGTGATGCCTATTTGATAGTTATTTGCACCATCCTTTATACTACACATATCCTACTAATTCAAATCTTCAATATCTTGTCACACTTCTTATGTGAGTACTATCTCACCTCTCTTTCTTCCTTCCACACCCCCTTCACACTTTTCATGCCTTGTCACACTTCCCATATGACTAATATCTCACTCCCTTTCTTACCTTATACTTAGTCACATTTTCCTCAAGTTTAATGTATTTAGACTTGATTGATCAGGTGTGAACTATGGTTAGAATTAGTGAGCTTTGGTTAACTAAAGTTAAGTTAGCTTGTCTTATAAGCTAACTTAATTTTGGTCAACTTGACCATGGTTTGGTTAGCTTGCACCACTAGGTAGGGATAACAAAACGGGTCATAGCCTGTAGGTTGACCCGCTAAAAAATGGCAAGCCAAGCCAAGCATTGTAGTCTACTAGTTTGCCTGGTTCGTCTTGTTTAACCCATCAACTCGCCTATTTTTTTTTCTCCTAATTTTTATGTTAAGTTTACATAGCACACTCCTTGCCCCTGAACAAACAAAATGTGATTGACTAGAAATAGAATCTAGTAAGTGTCGTTGTACCCCCACACAGTGACAGACTTATATTATAATGAGAGTAGACAAATGTACTCCTTGACTTTAATTAAATTAATGTATGTTTAAAAATATTGTATTTTGCACCTCTTAATTCTATATATTGAACTCACTCGTAATTGTTTTCAACATTTATATTTTTTGTATATGTGGTAGTGATGATTATTAATTTTAATTTTTTCAAAAAAAATTTCCCTTATTAACCTTTTTGGATCTACCACTGTCCCCATGGCTAGGATTTCCAAAGCTCACAAGCCATGAGATCAAGCGACAATGACGAACCTTCTTATGAAACCTCATAAAACATACTTTGTATGCAAAGGCTCACAAGATCAAGCAATGATGGGTAGGGTTCCCAAAACCTCATGAAGTTCGTTAATCGTTACTCTCACAACTCATAATGATGGGGAACAACTATTTGAGCGAGTGTGAAGAAGGAGAGCGAGAACGCCAATTCGTTTTCTGTTGTTTCTGCTCATGAGTTAGGGCCTCATTTTCTATTGATTTTTATTTTTATTGCTTGGATGTCTAATGAATTAGTGATACCGAATTGATATGGTTGAATGACTAAACTTGATCCCTTTGAAATGTTCCTAGCCGAGTGTCTCCCTTTGAATTGATTTGGTTCATGTTTAATTAGGAACTTGGGTGATTTGATCTGGTTTCCTTTTGTCTCCCTCTGAAATGTTATTGGCCAAGTTGTCCAATTATTTTTTTTCTAGTTTTTATTTTTATGTGGGCTAGCCCGCTATCCTCCAACCCGCCTTTAGGTAGGGTGGGCCAAGGTGTCAAGTCTATTTTTGTTTGGTGGTTTAACTTGGCTAAACTCATTTTTGGCGGGCTAATGGGGGGTCTATCTAGCCCGTTTTGCCACCCCTACCACTAGGGATGATAATAAACCCGTAGATATGGGTGATGTCCGAATCCATATCGACTTTGAGAGGAAATATCCAATTTAATCGAGCATGGGTAATACCTAGTTCATTATGTAGTCTTTTATCTCTTTTTAGGAAAGTACACCTATACATGACATACCCTTGAAAGCTAAGGGTAACCAAGGGAATTTTCCTCTCTTCACTCACTTGGTGGCAAGTGGAGAGTTGTTCTACTTTCATTTCTCGTCCAAGTAAGTCTCTACATCATATTTACCATGGAAGTATGGGAGATTCACCTTGGATTTCCTAACTCTAGGTTCCCTTTCATTTCTAGACTTATGTTTTCTTGGTTATTTTTGGTAGTACTCGTTCATGCTGAGACTACCACTTTGATTACATATGCTTTTGGAAGAACCACTAGAAGATCCACTACCATGTTTCTTTCTATATTTTTCTTTTAAAAGCATATTTTTTCTTTTATCTTTCTAAGCTTTGTTTCTAGCTTAGCCTTCATTTCTTATTTCTCTTTTCTTTGCTTTTCTTTTTCTACCCTTTCCTCTTTTCTCCATAACTTAGCGTTTTTAGTCCAACCATTAGTTTTGAAAGAGTTGGTGTTGAACTATAACCACTACCACTATGTGAGCTTATGTGTGAGTGTTTACTCGTGATGTAATGTAAAGGTTGAGGTATAAGGTTTTTTTTATCCTAAATGTTTTAAGGCCAACTAAAGTGTTAAATAAGTCTTTGAAACCTCTTAATACTCCTAGCATGCAAAACAAATAAAATAACAAAAATTATAAACAAAATAAATATGCAACTAGATGTGTCCTAAGTAAAAGTTGGGTGGATACTTATGAATCACTCAACACACTTCCATGAGTACTACACAAAAATTACTTAACAAAATAAAAAATCACTTATAAGTGGAAAGGCCTTTACAAGAAAAATGAAAGAAAATTGAACTCCTAAACTATTACAATCTTGAAAGCTCTAAGTCTTCTCATACACAATGAACAAACTCATTAGTGTAGCAGATTTTCTATATGTTTGGCCACTCTTTTGGTGTTTGGTCTTCAAGTATCTCCAAAGAAAGTCTCCACCAAAAAGTAAGTCTTCCTAGGCTTTCATCAACATTCCAAGACACTACCTTGTAGCAAGGTTCTTAGATTATCCTTCACTCAAAGATTTAGCACAAAAAATAACACTAAAAGAGATTTTAGAGACAAAAAAGAAAAGCTAAATTAAGAAATAGCTAAATTGAAAAAGAATTGATGTTGACAAACTCAAAGAATTTATAGAATTGACAAGTTAAAAATAAGATAAATTTAAAGGCTAGAACTCAAAGAAATATTCCTAAGAATGGAACTAGATTGAACTACAACATCAAGAAAAAAAATGACTCAAGCTTACTTATCATGAAATGCAACTTTAAGTGGTGAAATATGTGATAAAATATTTTTAATATTTGTGTAGAAGTTTCTTTATAAAAGCTCCACTAAGTTTTTTAATCAAAACTAACACTTTTTTTCTTACATTTTTATATACATTTTTTTCCCTTTTCTTTTGGAGCAATATGTGACTTTTTTAATCAAATATTTGTTCTAAGATTCTAAAAGAATAGAACTCAAAATCTCATAAGAAGCAAACTATTCAAATTTTGAACTAGAATTGGTGAATTTTTGTTTTGTGTTTGTGTTTGCTTTTTAGACCAAATAATTTGCACAAGTAATCAAGTCCAATTTATAATATTACTATACAATTTGAATTTAAAATTTATTTCACCAAATCAAATTCAAAATTGAGTGCAATAAGCAAAAAGAATTCCAAAAAAAAAAGTTATGACAACTTCAAGACAATTTAGGACACAAATTCTATGGATAAAACAAAATTAAAGGCCACACTAGGAAGCTAGCATTTGATAATTAAGGACTAAATATGATTCTAAACAACTTGATTCATGGATACAAAAATTGAAATCACAATATATTTTTCTATTTTACAATTTTCTCATGCTACTTATATCAAACAAGACACTAAAACAAAAAGGAAAACATATAGATCAAGAAGTCTAAAAGCAAATAAGAAGATTTGGTTCATATAATATTAGATCTACAAAATTTTGAACCAAAATTTTTTAGACAAATATAAATCCATTGAATTATCATACAAAAAACTAGATCTATGCAACATATACTAATGAGACATATAAGAAACTTTTTTAATAAGGTGAACACAAAATTAGAGGTCAAAACCTCCATGAATGAAATCAAGGCTCATGATACCAAAATGATGGAAACTAGGTGGAGAATGATGGACAAATTCTTCAACTTGCTTCCTACTTCCTCAAATCTTCATCCATAGCTCTAAATTGAAAAACATGCAAGCAAATGATGTAGAGAAGAGAAAAATGAGGTGCACCACCTTTTGTAACGACCCGACTTATGCCATCACATCAACAACCAATATGACAACTAAAATAAAATAATATATAATAAAGAAAAGAAAGAGCAAATGTCATCTATCCTAGAGTGAAAATAGTCTAAAATGTAAATTGTTTTTCATCACATAAAACATAACTTTACAAGAGAGTTATCATTTGTAAGGTTATACAGTCATCCAAAAAGATAATATAATTACAGCATCATGAAAACATCAAAATAAGACACCCTAGGTGCTGGTCAAACTCTAAGTCTAGCCACTTCTCAAAACAACTACCAAAAGACTCCTTGCCATCCCAAAGCCTCACACTTGATCTGCTCCCCCACATAGTGAGATCATCACAGTCCACATCATGGAAATATAAGGGTTAGCACGTATAAAACCAACCACAGTACAATATAATGAAATATCATCAAAATAGATATTCATCAACAACATTTATGCATACCAAGGGAATGAAAACATTATTACATGTCTATCTCCATTCCAATATAAACCAAATCCAAAATCCAATGTATACACATCCATACCAATGCATACATAATCTATAATAATAAAGAATCCATAACCAATGTATATAATCCATACCAAATGCATACATATTCCATATCCAAACCAACGTCACACCACTGTATAATCCCATGAAGTAGCCAACACGTCTGTCGCAACCCGAAAATTTCTGATCTCGCGACTAATGGTTT